TGTGCTATCAGCAAACAACTGCTGCGAGTTAGCAACAACTAATGAGAGTTTTCCGAATTTCTAGCTTAATGAAATTCATAGGGAGAGTCGTCTAAAACTGCACCGAAATCATCTGGAAGTGACGTTGGATTTGAGGATTTTGAATTGATAGAAGACACATAAAGCAATGCAAACAGACGCAGATAAATTGCCAGATGAAAAGACACAAAATGCTTGCTGTAAATTTTTAATGCCCTTTCATTCAGCACCGTTCGCTAATCTCTAAACAAATTATTTCCACGTCTCTATCTCTGCTCTACAAGACACTTTACATCAATCATCTGCTGCTTCACAACTCACTCTAACCAAACTCACTTCACATATGTAAAGCGCGCCTACCTTTCAAACGTTATAAAATCGTCTCCTCTCTTCTCATTGCTTTTGCACTCTCAAACATTAAGGCTATGTTGCGATGGATTTTTCGGAATTCTTCAACACTGTCTAGTGTTGTCATGATATATCGATACAACTACTCACACACCAGCAAAAAATTTTCGTTTCACTCAATCCAAGTCGTTAATCACCCGAAGTAATCATCCATTAAGTTGTTTCCAAGTGACTTTTGTTAGTGACAGCTTGACAAGCGGCATAATACATCAATTTACAGTCATACTCAAACTTTCAATTCAATANNNGAGTGAATTCAAACAACTGACCATCTGTTCCTTGTCGATAACTTTAGATGAATTACTGCTATTATTATTATGAGCGTTATCGTTATCAGTGCCAGTGAAAACATCGATATTATCGAGTGAATCTTCCACTATTTCCATGATATCTTCCGCTCTTATTCCTCCATTCTGATTCGATAATTCATCGTTATTTTGTGGAAGTTGCTGAAATTCGAAAATAACTATCAGTATACTAGAATGACTCGTAGGTCGAATGTATAGGCTGATAGCAGTAATGATACGTGAATGAATGATAACGATAATAATAATGACAATCAAATCGAAAATAACCTCTTGTACAACTCGAACATCTGACCGTTGCTGCGTTGAATTCAAACAAATAGACCCATTCATAACTGATTCGTCGGTGTTTTTCGAAAAACTGTCATCATCTATTTGTGGTGGTAATAATGGGTGAATAGTAATACGATTGTCCGTCAGATCGTTGTTGTTATGGTTTATTATTGGCGAGAATGATGAAGATGGTAACTGCGTGTTATCTGTTTTAATGACACTATTCACAATCATATCGTTAACCGATAACAATAAACAAGCGCATGAAAAATATTGCAGGCAAAGGTACTGGTCGAGGTTTAAATGAAAATTTCAAACGTAAACTTAGAGTGTTGATGAATCTTGATTAATACCTGCTGTATGAATCAACTGTACGTCGTCGTTGGCGATCTTGCGAGGATATGAAGTGTTCTGCAGTGATTGTGTGAACACACGAATCAGATCGTCAATACCGTTGTTCAGCGATACTCTATATGTGTTAAAGACACTGCGAAATTCATCCACTTTCCCGATTGCGTCTCGATACGTCACAAATTTCAGCACTTGCCAACGAATCTGCAATAGCGCTCGACTGTATTCGCAAAGAATCAGATCAGCCGCGAAATCGTGAATGCCATTTGATTTCACTGGCGTCCAAGTTATCCAGATATGCTCATTGCATTGGCTGACTGTTTTGACACAACAAACAAACGTCAAAATTTATATTAACAAGGAATCACAATGGATGATGGGGAATTAAAGAACCTGTTCGAAGTCATACGAGCATTTCGTAAGGCATTCCAATACTTTGTTCAGTGACCCCAACATCAACTCCATCTCATCGGTGGGTATGATTCGTTGATCACTAGGCACATAACTGGTTGCCATTTTCAACTTCTGTCACCTGACAACAATAAGTGATAATAATCACAAATAATCTGCAAATTCAAAACGTCAAAATTCCGACCGCTGAAATGCATTTGTTTGAGCCTTGGGCACTTTTGCTGAAAATGAGCGCCACTGCGCGCATGCGCTTAGATTACCACTTTGCCCC